ATGTTTCAAGATATTTTAGTATTAGAATCTGAAAAGTGTGGCATGATGCAGAAATGCACGGGCTTACTGTCTGAAGCTGGTAGACAAATTCACATTGTTCTGCAAAGCAAATGCATGCAACACTTTTCAGATTTTTACTTGTAAGTAACTGTACTCTGATCTATCAGATGCAATTCTAACAAAATAGATTCTCTCATTATGATGTTAGAAATGTGAAAACATTTACGTTGTAAAATTGAGCTGCTAATAAGACTAGAGAAAATTCACTCAACGTTTTATTTTACAGATTCATGTCTCTCTGCTTACTGTGAAATGAATGATGTTGTTATTGTTTGCCTTGCTGTGGATCAGGAGAAAGTTTGAGATTTCTTTTCCAGCCCAGCATATTTAAATGTGGTGGAATTGATCTTCCCCAGTTGCAAACTGATGTTGTACTGCTAAGACGTGTGCTGCCTGCAGCGCTGCCTGTTGCTCGCTCCACACATTGACTCAGCAGGTCATGAGTTTGTTGGCTCACACTCAGCTTCCTAACAGCCTTTTCAAATCATTAAGTAATGAACAGGGTGCCATTCAAATATAAATGCATCCACAAGCCAGAATCCTTTCATGTTTTCAGCCATAAATAGTCGTCGTTTTTTTCTCTGAGCTAATATGCCTTTGAAAGCCATTTTCAACATCTGTTTAACACTGGGCCAAATCTCGACGCTCTGCACCAAAGTCAGCTCTTATTCACAGAAAATAAAGCTTCTGAGCTTATTTTTCTATTATTTATAAAACGATTATTTCCTCATCTGTTGGTTGTGATTTAAGCAGGTATAAGGCAAAGCTTTGATGATCATTGTGCCACCGCTGACCTTGGCACCAGCCGACTCCATCCGGGTCCATCCACTCCTCCCCTCCTGATAGAAGAATGGCCCCTGGCCTGCAGCCTATTGGAGGGGCCTGGAGCCAGTTTCCCATCTTAGACAGCTCCTAATCTTGGAGGCAAATGATAAGGCGGAGGTTTACAGGAGAGGCTTTACACACTCTCCAAAATTTGCATTTAAAGACCCTCAAGTAATCTTTAGGCTTATTTAAATCTCAGCAAGACATTAGCAGGAGAAAAAGATTCTGCACATCCACCTCCATCGCTTCTTTCCCATGGCACAACAAATCCCTGCCATAAATGAGCGAGGCTGCCATTCTCACAGCAGCTGGTCTCAACATTATCAATGCTGTTTAATTGACTGAGAATTATTTTTGCTCTGTGCATCCAAATAATGCCGCCACGTGGGACAAAAGCAACAACCATCCCCGCAAAGCTGTTTGGGAAAAGAAAGGTAATTTCTGCCAGGATGGCTGACGTGCAGACGGCTGCTCAAGAAGGAAGGGAAAGAAAAAATCTGTTTGTTTTAAATGAGCAGATTTGACTGAGCAGTTTTGTTGTTTGAGAGATTATAATAAATATGAAAGAGACATCTGCATACGTCTTACAAAGCATTTCTGCTTTCTCACCGATATTATTGTCACGCAGTCTCTTGATTTATGTCTTTTTATTTGAAGCCGCCCACATGCTCAGCATCGGTCCAGATTATGTTTGTTGACCAACAGCCAGAAGTGTTTCACTGAAGAACAGCCAAAAATGGAAACACTAATAATAAAATGAAGAGGAACAGTAGCAAAACGCTGGAAACAAATATTTAAAAACACTAAAACACTTTTTTTCTGTTAGAATAAACATTTCCTTGTTCAGATTTATTAGGATAACCTACATTATTTTTATTGACTATTTCTTCTATAAAATAAACACACAGCAAGATTTCTATGCTTCCAAGCAATTTGGAAAACCTTTGACAAGGGATGTCTGAACGTTTGATATGGCAGCCATAATTCAGAAGTGTTCACAAGCCAAAGCCAAAATGAAGTCCCAACTCCAAAAATACCAAAAAGTCAGAACATATTTTCCACCGAGGAGCGCAGACTTTGATTTAGCAGACATGTTTTATGTTGTGATGAAAATAAAACTGAACTGAGTTTCAGTAACACATCGAGATACAAGCCTGAGACACCGTTCTCTCTGTGAAGCACGGCGGTGGCAGCGTCATGCATGTTTTACTGGAGGAGGGAATGGTGCACTTCTCAACATCTAAAGCCACCAGACATGATGTCAAAGCCTGGACTCACAGGTTTTAAACGTGAACTTTGACCCTTAGCATACAGCCAAATAATTCTAATGTAGTTCAAGGAGAAGCAAAGTAAATATTTTAGAGTTGAAGAACACAAATCCCTGACTTAAACGGTGTGTGAGCAAACCCGAGTCAAGAGGAAAGAGTCAAAACTCCAAAAAATATTGTGAGAAACTCATAAAAAACATTCAAAATGCTCAACAGTAATCTCAATAATCCGGCATTTGGCTAATAGAAACAACTTTACAAATTCCAATCAGATTTTATCAGAGTGTAAATAGTTGTTTTCTTAAAGAGCTTTCTGCACATTCACTGAGATTTGAAAGATTAATCCTTACCTTTCCAGCTGAATGTATGTAATCTGGTCAGACAAACACGACTCCTGCCGGGACATTCTCTTCATTAATACTTGACAACGTGCCTCGCGTCTCAGGCTTCAGGAGATGTAGCGCTGTGATGGAGGAGGCATTAAAGTGACCCAGATTCACCGGTTTCTCGGTTCGCTTCTGAGTCTTTAACACACAGTTTGCACCTGAGATACAAAATTCATCTGAGGAAGCAACAAAGACGAATGTTAATGGTCTGAAAAACAGAGCAGTCAGAAAGTCACGACCTGATCAGCCCTCAACAGTTTATACAGAATATTCAAGACGGCTGAGAGTCACGACTCTAAAACTCTTCAGTGACGATCATTTAAACAGATTTTACTTTCATGTGTCTAAAAGAGACAAGTTTTATTTTGTTAAACCAGCAGTTTGGTTTTCTTTCTGAGACAAAAAGACATTTACAAAGCATATTCAAAGACACATATTGGCATTTCATAATCAATTTTTCTTCCAAGTCTTTAGTTTCTCCTGGGAAACACATCGAACCTAAAGAGAAACTACATCAAAAGTTTTTATATATCATACAAGTTGATTATGAGGATTTTATAATCATTATATGCTCCAATAAATCACTGATTGATTGCTAAATTAGTTGATGATTATTTTAATAATCAATTAATCACTCTCAAGCTAATACGATTAAGGCCTTCTTGGCTCCTCTGCATTACAGAAGGAAGTTCAAACTACTACAATGCAACATGCATATCGAATTTAAACTTCTGTGTAAATCTTAATTCAGAATAAACAAAACAAGATGTTGGTTCTGTTCCAGCACTGAGGAAAGGGATGTGTACACACACACACACACACACACCCCCACACACACCCACACACACACACACACACACACACACACACCCACACACACACACACCCACACACACACACACACACACCCACACGCACACACACACACACACACACACCCCCCCCCCCCCACACACACACACACACACACACACACACACACACACACCCCTCTGTACGTCCCAGAACCCAAACATTAGCCGGGCTCCTCCAGCCACACTGTGCAGACCATGTTCAGTGTTCCATGCCTCAGTCACTTCCTGCTGGCTCTAAACAATGCCGGCTCCATTTGGGCTGCTGTAATGGCTGACTGCTTGACATAACCCTGTCAGTGAGAGCTGAGATAGGTGACACTTGACAGATGTGTAATTGCTGGGAAAGCTCACTGACAGGTGGATGAGCTTACAGACACCTGATATGCTTCTGAGGCTGCTGACGGAAGGAATTACACCTTAAGCAGCAAAGGTGTGCTGGCTTCTCATGCAGCCTGGCTGAAGAAGAAAGAAAAGGCGGTTTGGGATATGCATTCTGAATGAAGGTGGCTTGAGTTGCTTCCTGATGTGCACAACAGCTCACATGCATATTATCTGTGTGGTAAAGTTATTAGCCATGTTTCATCCAGTCATGATGCGAATTTTGAGCAAATTTTTAAAATGTTGCAAAAAAGAAAACGTGAATTATGTGTGTTTCCATCTACAAGCTTGAAGTGAATCAATCAGGCGAAGTTTCATCAGATTGTGACGTTATGCAAGAAAAACCAAGATGTACTAAAAGGTAGAAATGTTTCAGAGTTTTGTTCCTGTAGTAAAAGAAAAAAAGAAACACTGGATTTTAAAATGAAAATAATTCTATTCAACTGCATTTTATTTTCATTTGTATTGTTCAACAAGCTGAACAGAGAATCCACATCAATCATTTTTGTATGTAACTCAGTTAAATTATGAACATGGACATGGATCGACTGTTCATGATTGTGTTCATGATCAGATGGTTTTGATTTCGATCTGGAGGCTGAAACTTGGCTGCAGCTGCACTGGAATCTGGAATCTGGAATTACAAGCAGCAGCTGAAGTTTTGAAATCAGGGAACATCAGAAATTCTAAAATCAAAAACTTTGTTTGGTAGAAAGAACAAGCAAGAGTTAGTGTCTCTTTTAAATCTTTACTTGCCTGCCAGCAAGAAGAAACGTTAGAGTCAGTAGGTCAGAGCATTCTCGGACAAACAGGAAGTGTGTTTTAGCTTAAACACACTTCCTGTGCCCCTTACACACCTGATGTGTGTTTTTGCAGCCCGAGAAACAAACAGCCTCGTCTCACAACAGGAAATAAACTTATAAACTTTATTTTCCTACAATATGTACGTTTCACTTCAACCACCAAAATGTCATATTGTTCAAAACCCAACGAGGTCAAAGGGCAACAAATGAGTGAAATGATAAATCAAATCAATGTAATCAATAAATGCAGTTGATTTTAAACAGATATTATAAAGTGTTTATAACAACCAAACATTTTTACAATACAAATGTAAAATCTTTTTAGCAAAATTTAGGATGTTTTTTATTTTGTATTTTTTGCATTTTCAAAGTTTATTGAACATTATATATTACAAATAAATTGACAGTAATGCACCAAATAATAAACTTTAAAAGAAGTTGGTAGGAGTTAGAGTTTTTTAAAACTCTCCTCTTTTCCAGAAATATTTTTTCAAATGTTGCCGTTTCCATCAGCCTTTTCTATTGCGATACGTTGGTGATTCTTCTGCAGACACGCAGCGGTTTCTCCTCTCAGGTCAGATCAGGTGAGCCGGTACCACAACCTGGAGATAACACTCCACCCCTACAGAAGACAGGAAGCGAGATAAACGCGACTCCTTGATGAATAGGGGGGCCGTCGGAGGGAGGTGGCGCGGTTATACAGGTGGAACAGCTAGACGCGGATGGGTGTGTGTGTGTGTGTGTTTTCTCTAATGCAAATCAATGGTCTCCTTCGGTGCAGAGCAGAACAGCACAATGCCTGCACACCTGTCCATCATTCAGCATCTTCTGTTCTACCTCTTCAAACTGGGTGAGGAAATACATTTTAAAAATCCCTGTAGCTGCCAGTGAAGGGTTTGAAAGCAGGAGAGGAGGTGAAGGAGTGCGCACTGAGGCCCAGACATTCACTTTTCTTTTCATAGCCGGGAAGACCATGTTATTAGAGCTGAGGTTACTGAATAGGGGGGAGAGAGACGGATGCTTTTGGAGCTGACCTCAATTGCACCGGCACACTATCTCAGCCAAAGTCTCATTTCACCAAGAAGGACAGGGGCAGAGAAAAGAGAAATTGACAATATCTTTTGTAGCATTATGCACAGGCAGAGTATAGAGATTTAGGGATGATATAGGGGCTGGTTGCTGTCGCTGTACCCAACAAGCCCCGCTCAGTTCATTGGGGGTATTTTCCCTTCTAACTGGGGTAGCTTTCATCTTGCCTGCCAAAAGGCGCAGCAGTGGAGAAGAGCACCAAAAGGGAGCTATCACTTCCCCTATTTCCTGGCCCCAGACAAAGCCATCCAAGCACGCAGGCAGTCTGCCTAAGATGATGTATTTCTGATCAAAGAGCCTGGAGTTGTCAGCAGCAGAGGCTAGTGAGGCAACCTGATTGCTCCTGGATAGATTTGTCCCTTTGATCAGAGCAGACTCTGACTGCAGGCACTGTTTATGCAAAGAAAAGATGGTGGAGCAAAATATCACCAGTGGTATGTGGAAACAGGCTGGGGGAAGGACTTTAGCTGCAGGATATGTCGGCTCGCACAATAATACACGATGAAATCTGTTGTAATTACAGCTAATGAGATAACACCACATACAGCCTTGTCTACAACTTGTTGCTTTGATGCTTCGCGCTGACAGCAGGAATTTTCTCTTGATTAGCTGGTAAGTCCTAATTATATCTCCTTATATCAGACATATGAGCCAGAAAGTGGAATGTATGTAAACAGCAGGCGTCTCTGCACAGTGATGTCAGATTATGCAAACAACTTTAAATATCCATTAGCAATAAGTTTAGGTGAACTTGAAATAATTCTGCCATAATATATTGATACCATTTATTAAAATTAGTTCTGAGACTCTCGCCCAGATAAAATCGATTTCTTTTGGTGTTAGATGTAACCCAGGCAGCACACACAATCCAAACCCCCATCTGCCTGGAAACGCTTTTGTGGCGATCCAGCTGCACGTTTTCATGACTCCATCCGGGACGTTTCATTTCCTGAAACCAGGTTCGTTAATTCATTTCAGGAACAACTGTGAGTGACATGAGCACTTGCTTCATCGGAGACAGTTGCTGTTTTCTAAGTGAGGTGGAAGTTAAGGGTCAAATCACAGCGCCACCTGGTGGCTGCAGCTTTCCCCAAATGAACATCTGAAAATGTTGGCAGTTTAGATTTTGTGTAAATGTGGCTGAAAACAAGAACTACTTTCCTCCAAATCAATTCAGAAGGAAATATCCAAAACATTTTTATGATTTGAAAAAGTGTTACATTTCCCTGAATACCTTCTGTATGTTTACTAGAAGCAGCTTGGGAAATGCTTTAAGTCTTAGTAGTGTACATTCAACAATATATCAGAAATATTTCTTACAGATTTTATCTTTATCTACATCTTAGCAAACACAGTTGCTGCAGATTTGTCAGCTTAATTTCTTGGATGCTAATTGTTTGATTAGTCAGTGAAATTCTGAACATTAAATTCCTTAAACTTTCTTTTGGTCTGTAAAGTAGAATTAGCACCAGAACCTGAGATGGAACCCAAACTAAATACAGATATTGGTTTGACCCAGACTCAAAATATCAGAATACACACCAATGCTGAGGTGTTATTGTCAACGTCCATTTTTTTCTATTGCACCTTTAAAAAGATTCATAATGAAAATCAGATTGTGAGGCTTTGCATATCCAATAGGAGTAAAGAGACGGATGGAAGATGGAATTGTTTATACTCTTCCAACCCATCTGGACAATATTTACATAAATACATATTTAATTATCACTGTCAAAATGTTTTTTTAAAAGACAGAAAAGTAAAAGGATCTGTCAATGTAACATTATCCTGTTTTCCTATTTATTCTGCATATTGAATGGGTTCAGGTCACTGTTTTCAGGGACATCCACCTTTAATTTAGTTTCTCTGTCTTCTCTGTCATGTTCCACATTAAAACGGTACAGCTCAGCACGCCTCCTGCAGAGAGACGTCAAACTGGAGCTTAATTTATGGATGCAAAATGCATTTCCCAATGTTTTTTCTCCTTCAGTTTGTTGTGTTGATGACAGGTGCTATTTTAAGTGTTTCCAGCCGTGCGTGTGCGCACAGTTCAAGTCAGAGGAAGATAAAGGGTCAAGTAGTTATGTAAGCTGTGATTAACATATCCAACGGCTGTATTTGGGTCAAACAGTGATGGGTAATCCAGGTCATTTCTGACAGCTGATGAAAACAGAAATCATTGTGCCGGGCAGTGGTGTAATTACGTATTTATGAGGGGAAGAGGACCTTGGGGTAGCAGAAAGAGGAGATGCATATTTGCAGTGACTTGCCTTGCTACTGTAATGACAGCCTATTTCCCGGCGTGGATGTTTTCTTCAGGTCTGCGCCAAGCTTTTGTCAGTCCGTCCAGTTTACTGGACCTGCCAGGAAAGCCTTTTATGGACGGTGCAGTGGGGTAAAATAAAGCATTCCTGCAGGATGAATACCCTGCTGAGACATGGGGAGCGTCCGGCAGTTTGAGTTGTGAAAGAGTCTTCCTAGACGTCAGGCAGATTTAAGGATGTGGATGATGTTTCAGGCAGTGGCACAAGTTATGTAGCTTCATGTCGATTGAAAACTCAACTGAAGACATAGAAGTTTCACACTGACTCCAGGAAGTTCCGGAAAACAGTTTGAAGGTACCTAAAGGCTGCATTTCGACCAGCCATGTTTAGCATTCTGGGAAAATACAACCAAACAATGACATGCATCGTTTCAGCAGGAGAAATGGCTCATTTTCTTTTACCAAAAACAAATGGGAAATATAGCAGCTGCTAAAATCTGTTTGCTTATGGAGAAATGTCTTCTTCAGAAGTTTTCATGTTGTTTCCTTCAGTGGTTCTTGGATCAGCGCCCCCACAGGCGAGGGGGGGAACTGGTTTCTCAAAGGGTTTGGTTGGTTTGACAGTGGGAAGGAGAACCAATGTTGGACCCAAATCAAACCAAGTGTACCAGATGATGAAGAACTTCATCTGCAACATATGGTTTATGAAGTTCTTGCTCACAGCAAGACAAACTCTCAAATAAACAGAAAATAAAAAGTATAACAAATTAAAAAAGAGACCAAACAAGCAGGTTATAAACCATCTTAAAGGAGGAAAGTCAGCGTCTGTCGCTGAGTAAAATGAGCTTAAGCTGAGTCTGTGAGGAACAGAAATTAAATTTTTTCAACTTCTTGCTGACTCACCACATGGGAATCATTTTCCTTTAAATTGTACAGTTCAATGATTTTACAGGCATTAAAAAAAAAGAAAAAATATAATAAAAGTAATATTGTTTCATCAATAAATGTGTTTCTGTTCAAAGCCTCTGTATTTTTCCTCCTACATGCCTTTAAGGTGCTTGTCCTTAGTCCTTGACAGCAAACAAAGCTGCAAGCAAATGGCTCTGAAATTAAATCAAAACCAGTTTAAATCAAACTCCATTCAGGACTCTGTCAATCCACTGTGACATTTGTGATATGGACAACACTTTCAATCTATTCCTGCCTCCTCCACTGGTCATGTAAAGTTTAATGAGCACCTTTTGTGGAGAGATATGAATAATGTATACATTACAGAGCTTTAAAGCGCCTATGGTGCATCTGTCTGCAGGATGAACTGAGACTACGAGAAGGAGCAATGAAAATTAAAAAAGCCCGAGGGTAAAGAAGGAACAGAGATTGAAAAAAGGGGATGAGTTGAAAGGCAGACACATTAATTTGAATGCATCAATGTGCCACTTCCAATGCAGAGCAGAAGTCATCAGCACGAGCAGAGAGCTCATCACCCATACTCACTTATCTCCCCTCTGTTGCTCATCTGTGTCAACCTGCTCTTCACAATAGGAAGTGAAACACAGAGTGACACACTGACTGTGGGGAGGATGTTTTCCAGGAAACTCTGGAGAGTAAAGCAGGTGACAAAAGGGAAATATAGGCGGAGATAAAACAGGCGGTGATGATCCTGGAGTCCGGAGGACAGGTTTCATCTGCAGGACAGAGGGAGGAGGAGGAGAAGCATCTTAATGTGACTGAGATGAGCTGCATTTGCAGGAAAAAAGCTCCCCGAAACATAAAATATTTAAAAAGCCAGATGAAAGTGTATGCAAATGACAGAAAAATCATTTGGTTTAAGAGATGTTTCTTGTTAAATCAAATTACATCAAAATTAAAATGTTATAGATGCTACAAGCTATTTTAGCTCAAACTAAAAAAAGCATTTCTTAGTCAAGAGAGAATTTAAAATGAATGAATAACAATTGACCTTTTCTTTGGTTGGAAAGCAGAAAACTAATTTTAAAACACTTTTATTTTGCAAAAAAACAACAACACATTTTTAATAATAACATGTCAAATGAATGCTGGCAAAATGAAAAACATAGAGATCACTTTTGCTGCAAAAATGCAGAAAATTTGGTTGAGATCAGAGGGAGTGAAGATTTATGGATCGACTGCAACCCCGAATTTAATATAATGCCTGACGTATCATATCTGAGATATGAGTACATGAATTTTCAGTCAGTCATTTCATGGTGTGGGGTTTAAAGGGTTAAAGGAAGGAGCAAATCAAAGATTAAACAATGATTAGAAATTAGCTGAAACTGTAACTTTCCCCCTTAGTGCTGCCAGAATATTTGTCTTTTAAATTATTATTTTTTACTAGTTTTCACTCCACTCTGATGAATTAAAGTCTGGACTCTTAATTTCCTCCTCAAGGTGCCGGTATGTTAGGTTTCCTGCCTAACAGTTCTGGTCCTCCTCCTCAACAGATAAATCTGTATATTTGATGAAATATACAGACTTTGTCTTGATTGGTGATAGTGTTATTCACAGAGTTTTCTGACGTTAAGTTTTAAACGTCCACTTTTGTCAGCGTTCTTCTCTTTTTCTCTTTTCACACATTGAAATGAATTCTCCAAATGGAACCTTAACACCAAACTGTAAAGGAAGCAGCAACAGCGCCTCCTCCGTGCCTCACAGCCCTCAGTCCAGACCTCAGCAGTGTAATTAGAAATCTTTTTTAAAGTTCCTCCGACCCCCACCAACGCGTCGCTCAAACGGTTGGTGGGCCTCTATCTCTTCCCTGTTGAATAAGCAATGGAGCTTCACCTCTCTTGCCCACGCCAGGCTGGCCGGACCCCCGTCTACAGATTGAGCGCCTCTCCTCCCTCCGCCCGGCTCCTGCTCTTAGCCGCATGGATACACAAAAGAAGGTTTCGGCTTAGTGGCCCTGTGATGGATGCATTTTCATAGGCCGATCTCTGTTATCTTCCAGAAACAGGACTCTCTCTTTCTATTCTCTGAGGGATTCCTGATTTTCTCTGACACCCACACCTATTTCCTCATATTTTATTTTTTTAGTCTGCACGGTTCCACCATTTTCCTGAGGTCAATCATTAATACTCGTAAGCATCGATGCTGACCTTGGCTGACCCTGAGCTTAAAACTGGGATTTTTCCCTGCATTGAGCATCCAAGCTCTTGTCCCAGCATTGTCACTCAGGCACAAAATGTGAAGGCCTGGACGGCCCCAAGGTCAAGTACCGACTAAAACCATGCCTCTGAACAATGGGAGGCCCTTCCTCTGCAGAAGCCCCCCGGGTTGTCCCTCTTCAGATTGATTGGCTATGCAGCAACATCTCCAAGTCAATCAATTTAATTAATTTAAAGCAGATGGGTCAAACGTGAATCCCAATTTGTGCTAGGAATGGAAACGTACACATCTAATGGTTTTGTCGATCTTAATTCAGATGCAAACAAGGATTGTTGTTTTTGTATGTTAATGTTACATCCAGCTAGCTTTAAAATGAGTTTGGATGATTTAGGGCAGAAGTTTAATGGACTTCAGTCTTATCCATATATTTATTTATAAACAAAAACATTGGAGATTGCTTTTTGCATGCAAAGGTTGTTTTCCTTTAAACTAGGGGTGGGAGTTTTAATTTAGATTAATTAATCACATAGAACTCAAGAAAATGGATTTTTCTTTTTTGTTTTTTGTTTCTGGTCCGTCTGTAAATCTGGCACACAAGCATCATTTGCAAACAACACAACAGCTTTGTTTTCATTACAAATGTGTGCAAAATCTTGTCAATATCTTCTAATGTTGAAAAAATTCATTTGCACTTTCCATTAAATAAGAAGCTTTATTAAAATCATGTGGATAAGTCATTCAAAAACATCGCGCCATCATCCTTCTCCTTTTCTTCTGTGTCGTTTCCACCAGTAGAAACATCCGTTTGTTCATCATGTGACACGTGAAGCACAAAGTGTTTCCATTGCAGTTTTTAAGAAATACACAAATTTTTATTTAGCTGAAAAAAAAAAGTCACTCGATCGTACCGGAAAAAACTTTTCATCAAAAAATATGAGTTTTTTTCAAATTTGTCATTAAGCAAATGTGGTTTTGTAATCCAAATTTGCATAATTGTATCATCAGTAGAAACACAGTTAGTGATAAATGACAAAGTAATTCCTCTTGGACCAATGGAAGTTAATTTCTGCTTCAAAAACTGATCTGAAGCGACTCTAAAAGCAGCGCAGACGTCCCAATGCTAATATCATCATCCATGAATGATCAGGCCTTCCTGAAACTCTGGAAAACTCAACTTTGCAACAATTTGATGGTAAAAAAAAATAAAAATAGCAGATTAAAAACAATAAATGTATTTGTTTTTGAGCTCATATGTCTATGTAACCAACGCTTTAGCAGCAAAAATGGTTTTCGAGTTAAAAATGTTGCTTGTGTTTTAATACTTTTTGATGAAAATGTGATAAATTACAGAAACTGCAATTAACTTGCTTAAAAATGTAATCATGTCCCACCATCCACTGATAAATGTGTTGCATTAAAATGATTATGAAAATACTCCCCTTCAAGCCTCCAGTGTCACCAAGCAGCACCTTGATTTGCCTCACCTAACACGAAAAAAAACTCCCTCTACAAAAAGCTCCTTTATTTTCTGCTCAGTCTGCAGTTTGCAGGTCCCTCATTTCCCAGCCACAGACTTCCACTTGGTCTTGATGTATCATATATCTCTGTTTTTCCTGAGTGGCTCTTTTTGGGCCTCAGGTCAGGGGGTGAAATAAAGCAGACCCCGTTTTTGAGGCAAAAGGGTCTCCAAAGCCTGAACCTGAGGGCAGTCCCCCCAGCCCCGGCCTGACAGGAGCTGCGTTCGACAAAGGCGCAGTTTGTTACAAAGTAGTAAGAGAAAAAAAAACAGGGAGGGTTATTTGGTGTTCCTTTGACCCCTCAAGCCCTTTGAGATGAAAAGCCTTTCAATTTTTTACCAAGGAAGACCAGTTCAGCAGAGAACTCCAGTCTGGGCTTCAAAGCTCAGCAGAAATTTTAATCAGAGACAAATCACTGTATATTGTGGGGAGCAGAGAACACTGCTGCTGTACTTTACCGGGGCAAAGGGGAAAATAGTGCAGGTAACATATGATGTGGCATTGCATGTAGATTTCTGTGTTTCTCCATGGAACAAAAATCTACATTTTGATGCTTGAATCAGAGAGTAAAAATAACAGCTGATAATTAACATGATCAGATAAAAGAGTATCATAAATAGAAGGAGAACGTTCAGTTGTTAGCAGTAAGACCAATATGTCAACTTAGCCTCAGCTGTAGTAGCTACGCTGGGCCAATCGGTGGCGCTGTAACACGGTTATAAAACAATACAAGATTATGTTTTAATTTGTTTAAAGAAAAGACATGGACCGCATGTTTTGAAATTTATTCCTGTCTGGAATCCAAATTCAAAATGAATCATTTCTGGTCTCCCAAGAATCTGTCTGGACGCACAACTAAACTAAACTAAACTAAACTAAACTAAACTAAACTAAACTAACTAAACTAAACTAAACTAAACTAAACTAAACACTTTGCAGACACTCCTGAAATTCTCTCTATTTAGTTTTATTTAAAATTGGTCACTGCCAATAATTAATATTTAAATACACATTTAATTCTGAATTATTCTAAGGTTTTCTGGCTTTCTATTTAATAAAATATGATTATCAATTCTAATGAAATTCTTTCATTTTTCTAAATTTTTCTCAAACTTTCTTGTGCAAAAGTAGGAAGATTGTAGATGTCTGGTGTTTTGTATAAAGTGGCGTCAGAGAGGAGAAAAAGGCCAGTTTCTGTTTAAGCAGTGGAAACTCTAACTATAATTTAAAGTGCAGTTAAACTCAGGCTGTGTTTTGTTGTAGCAGAAAGGAAGAAAAGGCTTGAGGGGTTCATGTAGGTAATTCTCCTTACAGTAAATCATATCAACACAAGACAAGAACTTTAACCACAATACCGCTTCAAGCATTTTTTTACCTAATAAAAAGATATTTATTTAAACAACACATGCATAGAGCCCATGAGTGCCTTCTGGCATTCACTGAACAGTTTTAAAAAGCCTAATTAATATTTAAAGTCTTGGTCATCCAGCCTAATGGTGCAGGCAAGGAATAGGCAATTCAGGGGTCAATTGTTTTATTAAGATTAATGAAGGGGGAGCAAAAGGGTACATCATATCTGCACTGCCTTCCCTCTTCCTTTGAGCTCCACTGAGGCATATTAAAAGCAGAGAGTAAGGCTTGCCACTTAGCTTATCTAAATGGCTTATAGATGTTTTTGTCCAGGACACTCGAGGTACGTTTCATCAATTCATTTTTCATCAGCTGAGGAACTTACCCACTCTGGAAAAAATGAGGAAAGAATGCTGCAGCTCTATAGTCACATGAATGTTTAAGTGTTTTTGAATGGAACCAGGGTCAAAAGGTCACATTATGCTGTCTAACATCATGTAGAGTCACGTACCTCTCTATGAATATGAAATTTACCAAATCAATACCAAATATTCTGATTATAATTGTTGTTTCGCATTAATTTTGTCTAGCTAGCGTCGAGAATAAATAATTCAGTGTTTTTCTTCCATCTCTGTTAGCTGGTTGCTAAGCTAAACCTAAAGGAAATGGCATGTTGGAGGGAACGGCCT